GACTCTACTAATAACAAAGAAGCCCAGGCCACAAGCCCACTGTTACAAACCGAGCTAATGTAACAGTGGGAGTAAGTAACGGCATGGGTTGTTTGTGCACACGAAAGCTCTTCACAGCCTCACCTGGATCCTATTAGCACTAGTTTGATTTCTAATATCAACCACATGAGATGATAGTTAACAGTTAACACACACACACACACACACACACACGCACACACACACACACACAAACACACAGACAGGCACACACGCACACAAATTGATCAAAAACTCCCACCCCCATTCAAAGAAGGAGGAGGGATGATGGGGAAGGGATCGACTCTGCCTTCTGCTGTCAGCAGCATGATTATATCTATATAACACATACACACACACACACACGCACACACACACACACATTTCCACAGGTACACCCTCACACAAAGCACTGCATTTACTGTAAAATACAACCAACATCTCTGCTGACACGGCCTGATGTGCCACACATGACTTGACCTTTCTCATCCACTATTATGGCAGTGAGTTAGACCAATGTGTCCACCCCAGGTTTTTCTTCTATTAGGATCAAGACATCAGCCCACAACCTCATATGCAGATGGGTATTGTAGAAGTTCATATTGGTTGACTGCTCAGGTCACAATTTATGTCCAATGCTGCTGCTCTGTGCGGGTAGTGCGAGCTTTATGCATTTCATTCTCAGCAAAAGCTGAGCCAGGTTCAACTTTTTTCTGGGCAACTTTGCATTTTTTTTCTTTTCTGCAGAATCATCCAATATAAATTTGTCTGGAAACAAATGGGTAATATGGGATGTTCCCTCATTAGAAATCAATGAGGGAACAGTTGGTGAACTTCACGGCATAATGAATTGACTAACCGATTCACTGTTTGCTCTGTACTGCGACAGAAAAAAGAGTAATGTTGGAAATGGAAAACCTAATTTTCCAGAACAACCAACATTAGCATTGGGTGTTAAATCAAAAGTGTGTATCTAGCTCTTTGGACTGAAACACTGTTGCTTTAACTTAAACTCCATCCGCTAAAAGAATTATATCAAACAAATCTGACCTCGCTCTCATTCTTCAGTTGCTTTGAACTAATTGTCTCTATAGATCATTTTTTTAATCTCCACTTCGGCAATTTGTCTGATACGCCTTATAATGGGTGGGAAAACTCCAAGTGACCACAAACAATGATTTTCAGAATATTTCCCATGACTGGAACATTTCCCTTTTCTATTATGTGTGCCCTTTGGCTAATGCAATTCAAGTGTCTAATGCCTTTGCCCTCTTGTGTCAGCCCACTACTTAATAACACCCCCCCACCCCCCCTCATTCCTCTGCCTCATTTCAGCATCATTGGATGTGTAAAATTGTTATTCCCAAAGAAGAGGGGATCTCTACAGGGATCTCATGAAATCATGAGTATGATCTGACTGTATGCAGCAGTTTTTGACAGTGAATACAGACTATTTGCATACGTAATAACTGTGGCCTCTTGTTGTGACATTCAGATGGCTCCAATGGGATAAAGTTTGGCTCAGTAATAACCAAAACAACCATGACCAAAATCAATTCACTCTGGTCTCAATGAACAAAGTCCGTGTCAGTGAATGACAACACACACACAAAGTGAATAAAGCTTTGCAGCAGTTTGAAAACAACACAAACTCAATCCGATGAACCAAAATAACCTTCAAATACCAGACCCTGACATCAGCGAGCTGAGGTCTCTTTGGGAGCCTTGAAGTACGGGAGCACAACTAGAAGATGAAGGGAGGGAAGACTAGCAGGGGATAAAGACAGAAAAGGAGTATGTGAGTGTGTCTGTGTCTGTGTCTGTGTATGTGTGTGTGTGTGTGTGTGTCTTTGCTTATGTGTCCTTTAGAGCATCCCCAGGCGTCTTCTCTCTGCAGCCGAAGTCGATCGGCTCTGCACTGTGAGCCTACACGGTTTTAGCCAGGGCCGGCACAGACAGACAGCTGCTATTAAACCCTGATTGTTTCAGGTTCACAGGGTGTGAAAGGGTCTGATTGAGGGGCTGTGATCCCAGTGAGGGTGGTCTTTCTCCCCCTCTCTCCCTCCCCCTAACCTCCCTCTTTCTGGAAGGTGGGAGTTGAGGAGGAGGAGGAGGAGTGTTGGGGGGTGGGTGGGGGTGGGGATTGCAGGCATCACGTGACGCATGTTTCTTGCTGAGAGGACCAAAATGGAATCTGGACAAAAACACACCACTTGTTGCTGCCTGCCTCTGGGTACGTGTGTGTCACGTGACCGACGGACGATAATGCCAACACAGAAATTAAACACATCATCCAGGTCATTAATGCCAGAGAGAGCTATGAGGAGATGTTTCCAGATTCTGCTGCATTGTCACTGCTCAAATTAGCTCTTTACATTTCAGATTACAGATTCAACACACCGGCCTCAAAGAGGAAGGAACCCAGAGCACTCAATGCAACCGTGTTCAGCCTGATAGAGACTTATCACTGCTCTGATATGGCTGTGATAAACCAGATCAGCCCTCTCCTGTGTCTGGCTATAAGAGGACAGTTGCTTCCTGTATGGTCTATTTGTTTAAGAGCATTCCCATTAAGGAGCCTTTTGGCCTTAACAAACTTGATAAAGACCAGGGAGGGCGAGGAAGCTCCCCTGCCGAGCTTTTCACACGTGGCCAGAGGACAAGTGCACTTTCCTCCCTCGAAACTCTCCCCTGTCTCAACCTTGAGAAGGGCCCGAGTGCCTCTCCGTAATGGATTACATTCAAAAAAGCCCAACCCATACTGCATCTAACATTTTACTTGATTATATTTCCTGTTATGATCGATTTGCTATAATCGAGTAAAATGTCTCAGGTGTTTGCACGCCGGTTTTCCACTTCACACAAGGTTCTTCTTTACACTCGAAAACTTAATCAAGTCATACTTACGAAGTTATAACAATTTCAACAATTTCACAAAATATCATGAACTCTGACTATATTCTTTTTTACCTCTTGTCCAGCGTAATGTTTATGAAAAAGACACCGATGATGCACAACCCACACTCTCACTCTTAACCAAATAAATCGTAAGTATTGTCTCTTCCTCTCGTGTTTTTGGAGATCTACTAAAGACCTTTGTCACTTACAAATACACTCTTTCTCTATGTATGTGTGTGTGTGTGTGTGTGTGTGTGTGTGTGTGTGTGTGTGTGTGTGTGCAAATACTGTTTAGGAAGGTTGTAGGTTTGTGTGCTTAGCACTTCTCACTGTCACTTTGGAATAAATAAGTGTTTGGCTCCTCTATTGAATCCAGTGTTGACGCTCTTCAGTCCAGGGCCACTACATGAAGACCAGCAGCCTAATCTTTCCACATTAACAGCTACACTCACCTCATACAGAGATAATTAGATTAGATTCAATCATCTATCTCAGATTAGAGGTTGATTATGGAAGGCTTCAATGCATGAAAGAAGGGAAGAAATGCTTTTTGATTTAAAGCTAAATAAGCAGCCAGCACATTTCAAGAAGCGCAAAAGTTACTCAAATATTTATCAGGGAGTTAATGGGGCATTTACAGGAGCTTTTCCACTCCTAAAGCCCCACACAATCTTCAGTGATTGTGTTGTTTTGTTGGTGTCCTCACAGAAACTCACATTTGGAAAAGATATTGGCACCTCAAGTATTTCAGGTTACAAGAAACAGCTGTTCTCGGGTGGCCCATGCCACCCTTAACTGTCCCAGATGATTTTAAACTAAGCTGGCAGTCAGACCCCCACCAGAAGGACTTCCTAAAGACATGGAGGCATGAAGCAAAAAAAACTTGCATTTTCTGAGCTCTGAAGTTTGAAGAACCTACGTCCATGCCTCCACACAGACAAAAAAACACTGGACGCTACTTTGCACAGTGAAGGAACCGAATGAGTGAATGAGTCCACAAAACCCAGGGTATCAAAGTGGCTGAAGCATTATACTTTGTGGTCGGTTAGAAGAAATATTGTGCTGAATAATTACTTAAATTTGGAGTGTAGAGGAAATGTAAAGTAGCCATTTTTAAGTAAGTCAATGCTCCCAATACGTACAAATCACGCACCATCACCTGAAGAGGTTACAGCTAAAGGAGGACTTACTTTACCAACTTTAATGACACATATGCACGGTTTTTTTTTCTACTTCAGAAAGTACGCAAGTGATTAATCTCAAGCCGAAGAAGAAAACGCAACTTTCCAAACATGAAAAAACGTGTAACTTGTTATTTATCAGTGATTTCAAAAGCGAATGTGAATCATCAGCTCTGCTTACCTCAGGATAGCGCAGGGATATTCAGCATGAAACTTTCTGACTTGTTTCCCACAGTCCTTGGAAGAGCTCAGTGGGTCCAAGGACTGTGAAAGTCTGAGTTTCCAGTAAAGCCTCCCGTCTCTCTCTTCTTTCTCTCTACTTTCTGGCAGACGCACTCGGATGGAGATGACTGACTTCTTCACAGAAACCGGGACTTTATCCTGCTTCAGAAGCGCTTTTCCATGGCGTTTTTTCTTCAGAGTCACTTTACGCAAACGGAGACAAAATTGAACCCCATGTTCGGCTATGGAGTCCCGCAAAGCGCCCTGGAGTTGGCTGCACAGCCAATGCGGGAATGCGCACCCCCTTCTCCTCCTCCCTCCCTTTCTCCACAGTCTGTGGACCACCCCGAAACAGGAAGTTCACTTTTTGTTTTTCTTAAAAAAGGACCATGCTGCTTCAGTTTTCCCCTCAAAGTTAACACGCTCCAGTTTGTCCTCTCAAACTGATAGGTTTTCAATTTCTTCCCTTTTTTTTTTTTGTAAATAAATACATGTACAGCGACACAATTAGTTATATAAAGACATTACAGCGTGCATATGTTTATAAAATACTTGCATGGACATGGCTGTGTCTATATAAAGTGCGTTCCTCTCTAGTAATTGAGATAATGTGTCTATAAATGTTTTTGTTTACTTTAATAGTGTAACTTCATAGCAGCTTCTCGGACAGCGTGTGTGGCAGACTACGTGTGGGGATGCTGCAGATTGCTGCGCCTCGCCAGTAAAATCCACCACAAAACCTGGACCGGAGTTCAGTCTGCAGCTCAGGACCAGGAGCAGGGCTACAGGTCTGTAACGCTGTCTTTGTGTTTTGTTTAAAATAGCATAGGCTGGAGGAAATCTATACCAGTGTGAGGAAATGGATTAGGTAATAGATGTACTGATACATTTTTATTACCTCAACAAAAAATATGATGCATTTTCCCAGTCTTCTTAATCTTTAATATCCAAAATTAGCCGAAGCCGGATTAGGCAAAGGACAACTCCCCGAAAGGGCCCCTAGTCTCGCTGTGTGCCAGTTGATTTGTTGTGGTTTGAGAAATTGCAAATTTGTTTTGGAACCGAAAGTAATAATAATAATAATCATCTGATGCAAGGCTTACGTTTGTATTGGCTAATCTAGTGGCCATGTCATGTAGTGTCAAATTCTAGTTTTAACATCTGTATGCTATTATTTATAATATATGTTTATCTTGTGCTCATATGACGTATAGTCCTGAATAAATTTGTGTTTGATCAACTTACCAGAAAAACCTGGGGCTTAATTATCCCAGCACAGGGAAGTTTCTGTGTCTCTAGGTTTAAAATGAAGCTGTGATGTATAGTCTGCTGCACTATATTTAATTGAAAGGTAAAGGCAACACATACGTACAATGCACAGGAGCGCAGCAGTTGTGGGGTAGAAGGGGCCCAACATGAACTTTTTGCCCCTCTGCTTCTACATAGAGTGTGTAATATATTGTGTTTGTGTTGTAAAAATATACTTCTGTCATTTACAATTTACAGGAAAATGGCATTTTGCTGGTGTTTCTCTACATTTTAAAATTACTGGTGTGGGCATTTTTTTCTGCTTAATAGAACAAATTCACCATGTCTGTTGCAATCAGTGAATAATTACCTCATAGGCCTTTTTTCATGGAAGTAGGTTTGAATGATCACAGCAGGAAAAGCACGGCTCTAAATACTGAAATTAAGGACGGGTGAACTCCATTTAGCTCACCGCCACACTGTCATGACTTACTGGGGCACTTGACTAGAACAGCCATTGTTAATGTTATAAGTAACACCTGTGTTGTCCTACTTTGACGAATCAAAATGCCTGCTGTGAAAAAGGCCTTGTTTAAATTCCTGAGGCATCAATAACAGCCGCAGTCTTTGTCAAATCGTTTTCCTTCACGGTGTTTCATGTTATATCTGTTTTCTGAGGCCTCACTCCAAATGGTGGCACATGCCAGGCACTGCTGTTGCCACGGTAGATCAGTGAATTATTGCCCTCTTAAATGTTTTGAATGACTAATTGCCTGCGGTTGGATGACTGGCAGTCAAGTTCATCCCAAGGTAAGGCAATATTTTATGATAATTTAGGCTGTTATGAAATGCAATAGCTCATCCTCATTTTTCAGGCCCGTGTAATGTTTTTTTTTTACAGGCTGGGGTTGTTTGTGGTTTAAGACATTAGCAGGATCCAGTGTTATTTCCTGTCTGTGTTATTCATCATTGATTCTCTCTTTTGTGGTGTCTGTGCTTCAGCTTGGGATCTTGCTGTTTTGTCTTTAATATTTGTGTAATATATTGATGCTATCAGTTAATCATAGTAAAATGTGAAGGTGGTATGAAGAGATCAGGTTAACATTTGTAAAAGTTTAAAGTTCCACTATCATAGCTTCTGTTGTTTGCTGTTTGTTTACTAGGTATATACTGTACGTTACTGATATAAGGTGACTTGATTTTGTGTTGAACTGATGCCAGTGGTACAAAGAGCTGTGGAAATTAAGTCATGTATATAATCTTACATATGCAGTCCATAGCTAAGAGGCTTTGCTGTAAATAATATCCACCTCTGAAACAGCAGCCATCACCCCAGTACAATGTAATATAAGAAATACATTTAATAAATCAACAACATATCTTTACTGGTTATTTAGGATAATCCACAAACCTCAATGGTAACAGTTTTCATGGGAACAATTCTTTTGCTCTGAAACTCATCTGCATGGTGAACCACCAAAGTAGATTAATGCATGTATTTTTTGTCTTTTCGTAATTTGAATGAGCTGACCCACTAAAAAAGGAGTATCTCTAATATTTATACTTGAATAGACCACAAGGTGGACCAACAAGTCAATCAGCTACTCGCACAATGCTGCAACTTATATTCATTTTGCAAGAGGCATTCTTGTTGGATACTCATCGTGTAAGTATATGGATCTAAAATTACTAAACTACAAGAAAGAAAATGCAAGTTAAAATGTCATATTTTTAACGTGAAATTATATACCATTTTTTAGACTGGTATACTGTGTTTATTGAAGTGATAAAAGGGATTAAAAAGGGTACAGTAGATAAATAATCATGATGAGAGATGAGTCTCAGTCACCATGATTTAGCCAAACAGTGCTGTTTGAATCACAGGATCATGATTTTGTCTGGAGTTGTGTTTCCAGGCATGAAGAAGTTTTAGTTTAAATTTGCACTGAGTCAAAGTCGGAACAGTTGGTGACCTGAACTGAGGCTGGAGTCCATTGAGAACATACGGCCAGTGGTTAAATCAGATTTTGTCAATGAGAGTTGTGGGCTTTAGTCCCAGTTTAGCTGCTGCTGTAGCAGCCAAGCAGGGAATTCTTGGATGTAAATCGGCCCACAGATGCTGGAGCCATATGCTTCATCTGACTGCAGAGAGAATCCAACACAGCCTTCACTCTAGATTATCAATGGGGAGGGATTACAAAGGTGAAACAGACAATCCAGTGAGTCTAAGTATAGATGGTATTACTGGTCTTACTGGATTGTGTAAAACATGTATTTTTGGTATTTGCAAAATCATATATTTTTAAGTTGTATTTTTACATTAACACAATTTACACAACACACCAGTATTATCTGAACATTCAAACACTGATTACTTATCACCTCTGTATAATGGAAATGATAGTTGAGAGGTGTTAAATGTAAAACTATTAAGTACTGGAAAACACTTCTAAAAATTTACATTAGTTGACTGACAAATAATGATCATCAATATTTGAAAATCAGATTCAGAATCAGAATGTGCTTTATTGCCAAGTTTTCACGTATGAGGAATTTGCTTTGATGTTTTGGTGCATAACAATAAATATAGTAAGAAGAAAAAAAATATTAAGAAAAATAAAGGCTCAGTAGAGCAGAGTGGGACTGCAGAGTAGAACTCTTTTCACATTACACTCAATAATTAGATTTTTTGTCAATAAAGTCTAATATGAAAACAAAAATCAAACTTTAGCAATGCTTCCATACCTGGAAGAAATATTGCTTGTTTGTTTGATATGCTATTGTGAAATGTTTTTCTCAATGAAGTACTGAGAGGACAGGTGATGGGATAGAGTTAAAGTACCTCAAGCCTGCCTAAGCATGTTATCACAAAACCTTTCACTGTCCTTAATCACTAGAAACAGTTAAGAGGTGTTTGATTTGAGTTACACTTTTCTCTTAATCTGGGGTGATTTATATGCATTGATATGACAATGTGAGACAGTCCCACAATTATCTAGCAAGAATATCCACGTAACAAGTGTAAATGGTGCCTTGCAGTTTGCTAAATGAAAAACAAAAATAACTTTAATATTTAATTGTCAAAAGAAAGTGTCATTTGAGGTCTACTGAAAGTTAAAGAAAGTGTTGCATGGGAGGAGGGTGAAGGAGCATCCAGCATTTAAGGCCACTGGAGGATACACAGGAACGTGCGTGTTAGTCAAGTGAGAGGAAAGCATCTGTCACTAAGACTTGGGGCAGCTGGACACCATTCCCCCGTGCAGCAAAGTCCACAAAATCTTTTACAGGATTTGTTTTTCCATTGCAGATGGTCCTCTGCACATGTTTTCTTCCCATTGGTCCGGGGTCCCGGGCTGACTGTGCTGCAGCTCTGCAGGTACTACATAAAAGGGCGCTCTGTGCCTGCACTAGGTTTCACCTCAGGCCCTGACATACTGAAGACAAGACATGGCAGAGGAGAGACTGCAGGGGGCAAACACTACACAAGGAGGAGCAGGTCTGCATGAATGCTGTATGCCTCCAGGCACTGCTGGGTGCACAGGTAAGAACTGCACAAAGATTGTATTTTAGTTTATCTAGTAAAATGATGCATTGTGCATGTAGTGCAACTGCTTCTGCAATGCATGCACACATTTAAATGAATTACATTTGCAGGGATACTTGATATTTGCAGCATATATTTATAACACATATACTGTGTAGTAGTTGTAGTTGCACTGGAGTATTGCAGCATGCTATAACACATTCAGTTTCATAGTATCTCCACCATGCAGTTGAATTGGTAATCGTTATATTATGTCAACAATTTGTTCAATCAATGCATTTGTTAATATTAACAGAATACATGCAGCTGTAAATGCAGATATTTTGCATACCTAAATACTCAAGCATATTCTGTAGATAAATTGCATTTGTGTGTTTAAGGTTCAGGATACTTACAGACAAAATAAATGAAATGGAGGTATTCAACAAGCAATAAATATATTTGAAGAGTTGTGACCAACGTAATCAAATGTATACTGCAAACTGTATATTTGTTTGACAAATGATGAATGCAATCAATCAATAACTGTGTTTTAACATTAATTAGTTCTGTGATATGTACTTGAAATATATACAACACCTAAAAGATAACATTAATGATAATTTTTTTTTATTTCCCCAAATAAACCCAATTTATTCCCACAAATATTCTTTTTCCTTTGATTTAGTATAATATATTTTATTGTAATAGTAGACACATATACTGTGTTTAATGGCCTGGATTGTCATTGTCATGTTTCTCTAGGTTGTCTCTCTCTTCTTTCTTTGTGATGGTGGAATATTTAATTCACTAATAATGAATAGAAAATAATAACTGAGGAAGACTCTCTAGCGTGCGTTACAAACGGAATGGCTGGCTCACTAGCCAGTCTCGAGTCATTGTAATCCACAGTACTGTTTTGAATGGATTATATACACCAGACTGTAAGACAATTTGTACGAGAGACAGGCCAAGTCAGGGCATTTTACTATTTGCATTTTTTTCTTTTTAATAATTTAATTAGAATAAAATAATAATATAATAATAGTATAATGAACAATAAAAACCAACAGTTTTCTGATATGGATATTCATTTAAAACAGTCACTTTGTTTCACCCACAATTTCCCTATATAATCAAATTTTTAAATGTTGCAAAAGAAAATGTAACATTTTCTAATGAAATATTATAGTTGATTAAGGGTTCAAAGTACTACATATTTATATGATTGTATGGTATTAGAATATAGTCCTTTCCCTGTGTGATTTGTACCCATTCATATATTGTTGTGTCTATGCCATATCTTTCTGTCTTTTTAGATATTATGTCAATAATTGTTTAAATTAAAATGCATCTCTCAGAATGTATGCGGATATGAGTGCATATTTTTTTCATGCCTTAATACTTCAGGATATTCTAAATCAAATATGATGTGTATTCAATGCTCAAGACAGCTACAAACACGTCAAGTAAATGCTATAGATGTATCCAACTTGCAATAAACACATTTGATCACACTGTAGTTTTTTGCCAGTGTAACTTATTATGTAAATGTTTCATTTTGCCTCTTCATGCATGTTATTTAAAAGGTGCTTTCTTTTTTTATTTGAGTCACAGTCACCAGAGGGCAGCATAGTACAAGCCTGATAAGAAGGCAACCCAAAATGCCATGAAAACAATTCTGTCCTTTATACAGTATACACCATTATAGAACCGTGTATATACACAGGATGTTATTTCTTCGGGTAACATATTCAGTATATTCATAATATCTAAAAATTGTTTATAGAGGTATATGCATGCAGTTATAGATACATGGGCTCTAATGAGGCACACTGAAGCGTTCAGTTTATGGTTTTATATGTTTTTTTTCTATTAATATAAAACATTTAATGTATACACACACTTTGGATATCCATTATTGTAAAGTTTAATGTCAAAATGTTTGTATCTTTTGCACACATATTAATATCTGTTGTCCTACATGTTTGTTTTCTTTGTCATGTGTTCATTGCAGACCCAAAACTTCCAGCAGCTGGATTCCACATCATCTGAGAAAATACTTTTTTATATATCAAGAGAGACATATATAATTTCTTTGTCCTGGATTAGGTATGTATGCAATAAAATGCAATGTACAACTGCACATATGATTGACATCTATACCATCTGATTTAAGACAAAAGGTATATGAATATTCCATCATGTACTTTCTCTCAGTTTAAATCCAAATTGAATGTGAGTGGTCTACCTTTTCCTCCTTTGCCCTATGTCCTATATTGTGTCTATACAGTTGAAAATTTAAAAAAAAAATCTATTCCAAGCAGTAGCAAAAATGTAGAACTTCATATTACATAATATGACTTTTACCTTCATTTTTTTAAACCAGAATCTGAGAGAAAAGTTGCTATAAATCTTGATTACAATAATCATTAATATTAATTGGGCCACACTAAAGAGATATTCATTGCTGTATTTAACTGAGACATTTACTTTTTTAATCTTGACTAGCATACACTCAAAACTACATCTGCAAGCTGTCACATGAGACGGTGGCATACAATAACCTGATTGGATGGATTGTGTTTAGTCTTCCTTGACAGAATTAGGTCCACACAGGAAATTGTGTGTGGTAAGACCTGAGTGGGGGTTGAGGTGGAACAGCAAGGACTCTGACATTAATTCCCTGAGCTGTACTGATGCAAGCTCCTGCTGGATCATGAACTATTTAAATCCAGCAGCCCCTGTCCTCACTGAAACGCTTCCTCACAACCTGCCTGTTTTTTCGAACATACTGATCTTAAAAAAAAGGGTTCAATGAAAGGAGTCGCAAATCTTAAGGTCAAGGTTAGAGACTATTTGAAGAGTTTATGTACAGTTTTCTTTTTTCAGATCTGAGTAGAACAGTTTTTATAGCCACTATTTGGAGTGAGTTTCAAAAAATCTGACTTTATCCCCTTAAATGTTACAGCCAAAAATTACATCATGGCTGACAACTTTCACATCCCCTTCCCACCCACAGATCTGGTCCAGCAACACTGAAATAAATGGTCTGAAAAAAAAAACAAAGTTTATACCAATTTTCACCAGGACTGTCCCAAAAATCATTATCAGAATAATCTGAAATATGGTCTAATTACATTAAAAACTCACATGGTGTGTTTTGTCTTATTTCTCTATTCTGTAATTTTGGTAATTTGCCTCATTTTCCTCACAAGCCACTCCTAAAAAAAACTGTCCTAAAAGCTACTGAAGCATTGTAGCAATGAACTGACAAAGAACTATCCCATGACTACGAAATTCCTATTAGTGTTCAAATGCGTTTTAGCCTGTGTCAGCTCATTGTTAGGTGCTTTACTGTTTTGGTTCACTCTCAGTGCTCTCATAGTACGGTTTTTGGTCACAATAAGCAGCTGTTTTCAGAGAAAAAGAACCTACTAAAAAACCTACTGAGCACTACCTGTCGCATACCAACATCAAACAGACAGAGTTAGAGACTAGCTGGTGAACATAGTGGCGCATTTAGCAGCTAAAGGGCCAAATATTTACCTCTGGAGTCACTGGAGACCAAACAGAGCTATAGGAGAATAGGAGAGTGAATACTGGGCTTAGATTCATCAGATGCACAAAAACACAACTCCGCATCTTTTAAATGTGGTGGCAAATGTTCAACTTGTACAAAAAGATCACCACATTGGCTTAAAAGGTCATAATACTGTATGTCATCGTGGGACTTACAGATTGTTTCAGCTGCCCCCATTTGGTCAAAATCTGGCCAACTATTGCAGATTTAAGAAATATCTTATTAGATAACTGGTTTTCCGAGAAATACATAGTATATATGGCCCTATAGTGATGCTTTTGACCACATTTTGGTCAAAAACATTCAGAGTAGTTGAGAGCCCAGGTGGCATAGACAGAAAACACCCACCACAGACATTAATATGACAGTGGCATAGCATTGGGCATACTCTGTTTACATCAATGTGATCATTCTATGAGCTACTTGCCCTGTTTGCTTGACATCTGACACATGGAAAGTACAAACAATGATTGTTGACCATGTGCCATTCCCATAAGGACTGTGGACCAACTGAAAGTGTGACCAAGTAGCTACACGAGTCAGGCTGGTTCCTGGTGCACTGCTCAAATTCTCGTGTACCCGAACCCCAACCACCTGAGACCAAATATCTATGTCAAATTGCTTAGACTTTGGGGGGGGGGGCATGGACAATTTCAACTCAAAATCAGCTTCTCTTAACAGCACCCAGACTAGGTTAGGGCCAGTGATGAAATAAGAATCAGAGCAGTCTATGCCCCAGTTTTGGGACAATTCATTCCTTAGCCATTGTTGGACCAAGCCATTTTGGCTATGTGGGTTGTTGAGCACATCTGCTATGTGTTCATGTCCTCATGCCTCAAACTAATTCAGCAAACAAACTCTGGATTTTTCAGAAGCTCTTGTCCAAGATTCCATCTATCAGTACCTCCAGGCCAGTTCCTTACATGTTGACAAGACAAGTTGGTCCTTCTCTTGGAGTGACAGTCAAACAAGGTATGTATGTCCATCACATAGTCACAGGTGCTCACCATGTCAGAAAAAATTAACTTCTGATGCATGTTGTATGTAAAGATTTCTTGGTCAATATGCCCAAGATTCATAGCTCCTCAATTAAAGAAACACAAGAAACCAGTAAGGACAATGTCTATTGCCTTTTGAGCATGTTCTAGCTTCTGTTATTGGTTACTGTATTGTTGTTCGTAACCTTATCTAAAAATTCTAAACAGTCAATATACCAGGAGCACTACAAAAAGGCTGAGTTAGCGCCTAGTATGATCATAGCATAGTGTTTTTTCGCACTGGTACATCAGTTCAAGTCATCAGGCATACCCTATTCTTTGGATACCTTATTCGTGCAGTATCCTGCTCAAATAGTGTCTCCAAGAGCTGGGCATGTATTACTTAATCTTACTTTTTTCTGTCCACTTTGTTTTGTCAATTCATATTTATTAGATCCATATGGTGCCAAAGACAATCCACAGTGTGGGACTGTCTGTTGAAACTGAGTGTCCTTTTGCAGTCCAAAGTCTAGGCTATCAAGTAGGTACTGTCAGCTGCAAGTAACATTAAGCTGTCTAATGTGGTATGATATTGCTGTAAGGCATTTGAAATGTGCATGTTTTGATATGTTCATACAAGAGACTCATGCACCAACTCTGACTTGCCGCAGGCTGAGGGCTTACCAAGGATTCCGAGAATCCTGCCTTTTCTCGGGCTTGAGAGAAGTTGGGTTTTGGTTCTTCCAATAGTAAGCCAGTATTCCAAAATGTGCTCACTTGTAGATATCAAATAATTTGATCAAACAGCTCCAGTTGGAGGCTCAATGGTTGGGTCCTGTCTGACAAAGTAAAAGTGATGTTTCAGTGAGCTACAGCACCTGTAGTCTTAAGCATAGCTTTTCAGTCTCACAAAATGGCTTATTTGTGAACAGGTCCTATAACACTTCTTTGTGTCATCTTTGACATATAACCTGCTCCAAACATTTAAAAAGCCCTCTTCAACCATTTTGTCATATAAGAACTGGGGCCACTCCGGGCCATGTCCAGAGAGTAACGTCCAGACATTGTCCAGAGTTGCCCTTTCACACATGTAGCCCTCAACAAGAGATTGCCCTTGTCAGATGTGTTCTCACCCACTGGAAATACTCTGATTGATTTAGGCAAAGGGTGGCACTGGATAGAGCTTTCAGGAGGCAGGATAGAAACGTTCGACACAGTGACCTATACTCTTTTCACACATTGGCTCAACCAGATATAACAGATTTTTCTACTATAGGGAGCTGGAAGGGTCAAATCCATTGAATGTCCAGTCCAACTGATTTATACATGTTCACTCTCACATACAGCTCCAATGGGTAATGAGGGTTCCAGTGCATGTGTGAAAGCACTACACCTTACTAGTCAAGTCTGGGCATTTTCTACAGAATTCTATAAACTTCAAAGTACAGATGCCACTTTGCAGGGCAATGGTGTGTTGACACTTTTACAACCTCTTGATTTTCCTCTTGATATGACACACATGATGACACACAGCAGAAGCATAGTCCAATTAAGTCTTTAGCAACAAGCGGAGGCTTGGAAATCAGATGCTACTGCCTAATCATTAGTTAAACATGTTTGACTTGAAAATTCCAATTTGGCATGCCCAGACTAACTACTATTAAAATGATGCTCATGACACTTTCAGAAACAAGGTAGCCATAAAGACCCAAATTGTCTTGAAGTAAGTTTTCATGTGTTTTATAGTAGTATACCCAACAGAAAAGCATGGAACAATATGTGAATATAGGTCATGGGGGTTGCTGTTTATCCAAGGATACTTTTTTTTCTACACAGACTCTAGCTAAGTTCACAATGTTGGTAGAAACATTAGTAAATGAGTTTAACCCTAACCCTTCCCTTTCTCATTTTAAAATGTGCCTTGGGTGAGTGTTCATACTTGCAATGATCAGTATTCCCATCAGTTGCCTTTCTGCTCAGCAATGGGCTAGACTACCTGTGATATATGGATACTACTTAACAATGCTGTTTGACATGTTATATGTCTGAAGTTGTCTTCAGGCTCATGATCATTGTTGATCCCAACTGCCAGTGGCATCAGTAAAAAGTTCAGTCACCACATTACAAATCATACACAGTATGGGACAGATGTTTGATATTATGAGGGACTTTATGTCCACAATACTAGCTGTTATCTGCAGCTTCATCGCCTGCCATTTTCACAAGTCTAGTGCCCTCTGCTGACCAAACTGTAAATAATCTTAAAAACAGATGCTAGATTGTCTCTCTTATTGCTGACATCTTAGAACTGTGATAAACAAGAGGCTGCACTGACATGCTGTTCATAATACTTCAGACAAATGTTTGCCCAGATATGATGTTTTGATTACTCAAGACCCCTGACATTAGAACAAGAATACCACAGACAAGTTTTCCTCCCTCAATATTAATTTGTACAAGATGGATACTGACACAAATTAGTGTTATTTTCTTTACTTTATGGAATTTCAGCGCATCAACT